CATAGTCCTATTTTTCCTTGAACTTTCTTCCACCAACAAATAAATAAATCTCACAGGATAAATCTGGACTCAGACATTATCTTAAGCAGTAACCCTTACAAAATCAGGTCCAAATGGTATTTATGAACAATGAAATAGAATCAACTTCCTTATAATATTTGCAAAACACACCTACAATGTTTGATCATCTCTAGTGTTTTAATTATAACATGGGATGTTGTATGACGGCCTGTTTCCTGCACTGGTAAGGGGAAATGTGACAAGTCCATCCTGTTAAAATAACATTGTAAGTAACTCTAGCAACACAACAGTAAAAAACAATGTGATTAACTTGCACGCCCAATTGAAGTTGATATTGTTTCAAAATTCCCAGCAGGAATCTTTAGTTAACCTGAACCCTTCCTATGCCTTGGATTCTGCCCCAGGTGAGAAGAGCTGTCAGCAAGGAGCACCTCTGCAGCAGAGAGTACTTAGCCGAGGGTAATTTATCTCCTCCCGTTTTCTCTCTCTGCTTTTCCCTCTACCCAGCTGAGGGCCCCTCTCTCTGCAGCTCTTTCCCAGGCCTCTGTATTTAGGTGGAGTGACATTCCCCTGGGGTGGGGGATCCTGTAGGGGGCAGAGGTAGGGTGCTGCTCCCCTTCTCATCACAACGGTGTGAACTTCAGCAGCTCCTGGTAATTAAACTTTCCAATGAATTCTGACCTTCTTAAAGTAGCACTTTAAAACATGAACTCCATTACTTCACTATAGGTCCAGGCTGCAACCAGGTATTTTATGTGTTTTTTGGTATTTTTTAAAAGATTTATTTATTTATACAAGAACCAGAGTACAGGTCAGAGGTGCGGGAGGGTGAGAGAATTTGCAAAACACAGAGCAGGGGGCAGAACAGGCAGAAGGACTGAAGACACTACTGAGAGGAGCAGTGGGCCAGGCAGGAGAGGTCTGCCGCGTCATGTGGGAATCTCCCTGGCCAGCCAGGAATCGAACCCACCTGCAGAGGCTGTGGACAGCTTCACAGTGTGGCGCTCAACCCGCTGCGCCACCTGGGAGGCCCTGGCTCCAACCAGTTTAATAGCATGTTTTAGCAAAGCCCACCATGTACACTTCGCTGGCCTTCTACACGAGGACAGTGTCTCTCGAGGGACGATAGGGGGCTTGGGGCAGTGGACATGCCTGTGCTTACCGAGGAGGTAGATGGTGTCCCACCCCAAACACTCGTTTCCTCCCCTCCCCGACACCCACTGAGGCCTCGAGTCTCCACTGCCTGCCATTTCAAAAGGTAGGGTTTCTTCACCCAAAGCAAGTGTGGACAGCAGGGTGGGCGGATGGCGGGAGACACTCTAGGTTTCTCTACAAGGAAAAGGAAGCCTGCCCCCCCCCCCCACACACACACGCTCTTTTCGGCCAAGACAAGAGTGGTTGTTAAGGCAGATGCAAGTTGCTCCCCAAGCATGTCCTGAATGTGGGAGGCCACGCAGCTGCCTCCCCTTGAGACGGCCCACAAGCTCCTGCCAGGGACTATAATGACTTGCTGCCCTTGCCAGCTGTCACACTTTGCATGCCGCTGGAGCTCCGGTCCAGCAGAAGGACCATCCAAGTTACCAGTTTCAACGGGTGCCAAACCCGGGGCTCATGCTGGGCCCACACGGCCACCCGGAGCCCCCTCCTGGGGCTTCCCCAAGAGCACTCAGCTCAGGCTGCCCAAGCAAGCAAGCAAGGAGTCCTTCTGCCCCAAGACCGAGCTGTGGCAAGGTCAAGAACTGGTGGGAACCCTCAGAGACACCCCTAGAAAAGAGAGACACTTGGGGGGAGGAGCAGCACACTTGTTTCCACATCTTTAATTCTGGGGGTACCCTGACCTGTTCATGGGGCATATAGGGGTGCTGCTTAGGCCACTCTTCTCTAGGTTCTAGCTTGTCCTTCTCACTCACATTTCCTCCTGTTGGCATGGAGAGGCCCAGGGGCTCCCAAAGAGGATGTGGACAGAGGAGGAAGCTGGATGTTTACCCCAATTTAGCACATCAGCTACAGGACAGAGAAGTGCTTTGGGGGATGGGTGGGCATTGCCAGAGGGGGGCTAATGCATGTTTCAGGGAGATGGCTCCTGGGGACTGTCTCTGCTGGGACATGGCTGAAGCTACGGGAGTGGTCCACGCTGGTCCTCAGGCCTTCCTCCCAGTGCCCCACACTCCCCATCAGGGGCCTGGAAGCCTGATCCAAATAGAGAGAATTCTGGAAGTCGATGCTGACAGTGTCACTTTCCCTCCTTTCTGAAGGTACTTTGTCAACCCCAGAAACACACTCCCTCTGAGAACCTCACTTTCATCCTGGACAGCAGGGACTTTCAGTGTCCAGCTCACAGGGTCGCCTGAAGGACCAATTGCAAAAGCGTCTCTAAAAGTGCCTGGTTTTTATGGTTAATCATTCTAAAAGTCACCTTTCCTCTCCATTCTTTACAAAGCTGAAAACTGCTGGCAGGAAAGCTTCACTCTGCTTCCATCACATCGTAATGAAAATGCCCCTTGACCGCTAATTTTTGGCAGCTTTCACCTTCTCCCTAACTTTCAACACAAAAATTGCTCCATGTCACAGGGTAAACTATTTCATTTAGAACTTTTTATTCATTCGTTACTGAAAAGCTTTTCAATATCCTGAAAATAAAATAAGCTGCTTTGAAAAGCAGACAGAACAAATGGTAAAAAGATTATGAGGGTCTGACTTAGCTGCTTGAAACTTTCTAGACTATCCCTTTGGCCTCTCTCCTTCCTGGCTAATACAGTGCCACTGACAGCTCAGCTCCTGCATTCCAAGGTCTCTTGCTTCCCCCCCCACCCCACCCCTGCCCCGGCCAGGGCCCCAAGTGAATTCCCAACACCACATCCTGCCAGGGCCTCCCTAGGGTCAGGTGTCCCTACGAGGCTAAGCTGCTTCCCTCTTTGTGAAACTTAGAGGAAACTCTTGAACCCTAGCATTATTGGGAGATTGTACATTTCAAGAGATGAGCCTGTTAGCTAGTGAAGATTCTAGATCAATCCCTAGACATCCCCTGGATGCAGTAGTTGCAACACAGCATGCTGGGCTTTGGGAGGATACAGAAATGAACAGGTGGTCCCTGCCCTCAAAATAATGAGGGCAGAACGCAGAGCTGATGTGCACCATCTAGGCCCTGAGGAAACTCCTCTATGGTTTACCAAGCATGATGAGAGAAAGAGACAGAAGACCCCAAGGCTTCAGGAAGGAAGCAATGTCAGAGCTGAACCTGAGGCATGGGCAGATGTCACCGGTGACGAGAGGTTGGGAAGCAGAAATCAGAGTGAGCTCCGGTGTGGGGGTGGGGTGGTAATAAGAACAGAGCAGCCCCCAAATCAGCAAGTGCAGCCAGTGGTCTCCTGGAGCTGAAATCTATCCCCATGGTGGAAAAGCTCTCCCATAGCACCCCTTTTCTTATCCCAGAGAACAACAGAGTGAGAGCAACTCAATTTCTACTGTATTCGACATCGACACTGTCCAATAGAACTTTCTGTGAGGGCGGAAATGTTGTCTATCTGTGCCGCCTCAGTAGATGGCCACTCTACTGGCAGCTGATGGCTCCTGGTAGCTCCAGGTGGTGTGAAGCAGTGCTGGAGCAGCAGGGAGCTAACTTTCTAATTTATTACAATTGGTCAGACTTCAGTAGCTCTGGGGGCTAGTGGCTACTGTATTAGACAGGAGACGTTACCCCAGCCTCGCTTCCCCACGCCTCTTTACCATGTCACGACAAGAAGCCAAGGTAGACAGTACATCCTGCCATGGCCACCAACCAACAAAACACTGTTGAGCTTGAAGAAAGGGTAGACTCAGCCCTGCCCTCAAAGGAGAGAAGAGTGTGGGGGTGTTTTCTTATCTTTGTTTAGTTTCCTTTCTCATAAGAGGCCAGTTTCTGTGTGAGTTTTACTTAAGCAAGTCACAGATAGAACAAACACACGTCCCTTTTGGGGGAGAAAGAAACCCAACAGGAAAAGCTCCTGAGTCCCTAAAGACGTTTTAATCAGAAGTGGGGGAGGGGGTGGTGAGTGCCAGGGACTAACCAAGCTGCTTGGCTGCTGACTGAGCCCAGAAATGTACTTCTCCAAACCTGGCAGGAAATCGCCTACTTTGAAAAATGGTTTACACCATATTCGTAGCAGCCTTCTTGACAGGAGCCAAAAGGGAGACGCAAGGCACGTGTGCAGCCAGGGAGGAAGGGATGGTCAAACGGGCTGTCCACATCCACGGGAATACTTTCCAGCATTTGAAAGAAAGGAGACCCCGACACGAGCTACAAGGATGGGCCTTGAGGACATTGTATTAAATGGCACAAGCTGGCGTGTAAAGGCAAATACCATAAGATTCCAGGTAATGAGGTAACTGGAGTAGTCAAGTCCAGACAGGAGAATGGGGTGGCCAGGAGCGGGGTGGCCAGGAGCGGGGTGGCCAGGAGCGGGGTGGCCAGGAGCGGGGTGGCCAGGAGCAGGATGGGCGGCGGCACACAGCCTCACTCTGCACCATGACGAGTCTTCTGCACCTGCAGCAGGTCAGCACTTAACCCCGCTGACCGGTACCCTTGCAAATGGCTAAGATGGTAAACTTCATGTTAAGTGCGTTTGGCCCCAGCTAAAACAGCAAACAAACACGCGCGTGTGTTCCAACAAGCACAGGCAGCGGGGACAGGACTTCCAGCCAGCGCGACAACAGGTCCTTCCCGAAGGACCGCACTCCAACCCTTCCCCCCAAAAGGCGCCGGCTCCCCCTCCCTCCCGGGGCCGGTCCTGTGACACTCGCGGGTGCTGACAATAACCTCCTTGAGCGGTGCCAGCGGCACCTCCGCGCCGGCCCGGATCGCGGGTGGCCAATGGGCAAGCGCCTGCGCCCGGCCTCGCGTCTCCATTGGCTGCGCGCGGCGGCCCCGGGCCCCGCAGGTTCCCAAGCGGGGCTTAAAGGGGTCGGGCGCGGCCCGCGGCCCCGCCATCGGCTCCCCGCGCGCAGGTCCGCGGGGAGGGGCGGCCTGCCGCAGGGCCCACCCCGGGGCGTTCCTGAAGGGCGCCCTCGGCGGCCCCGCCGCCCCCCAGATGTACTATGCGGTTTCCCAGGCGCGCGTGAACGCGGCCCCCGCGACCATGCTGCGGCCACAGCGGCCCGGAGACGTGCAGCTCGGGGCGTCCCTGTACGAGCTGGTGGGCTACCGGCAGCCGCCCTCCTCCACGTCCTCCGCCTCCTGCTCTCCCGCGGCGCCCCTCCTCCCCAAGGCGGCGCGCGAGAAGCCGGAGGCCACCGCCGAGCCGCCGGGCTCGGGACCCGGGTCCGGCGCGCACGCGGGCGGCGGCTCCCGGGCAGACGCCAAAGAAGAGCAGCAACAGCAGCTGCGGCGCAAGATCAACAGCCGCGAGCGGAAGCGCATGCAGGACCTGAACCTCGCCATGGACGCGCTGCGCGAGGTCATCCTGCCCTACTCGGCGGCGCACTGCCAGGGCGCGCCGGGCCGCAAGCTCTCCAAGATCGCCACGCTGCTGCTCGCCCGCAACTACATCCTGCTGCTGGGCAGCTCGCTGCAGGAGCTGCGCCGCGCGCTGGGCGAGGGCGCCGGGCCCGCCGCGCCGCGCCTGCTGCTGGCCGGCCTGCCCCTGCTCGCCGCCGCGCCGGGCTCCGTGCTGCTGGCCCCGGGCGCCGTGGGGCCGCCCGACGCGCTGCGCCCCGCCAAGTACCTGTCGCTGGCGCTCGACGAGCCTCCGTGCGGCCAGTTCGCGCTCCCGGGTGGCGCCGCGGGCGGCGGCGCGGGCGGCCCGGGCCTCTGCACCTGCGCCGTCTGCAAGTTCCCGCACCTCGTCCCGGCCGGCCTGAGCCTGGCGGCCGTGCAGGCGCAGTTCACCAAGTGAGACCCGGCCCGGGCTCGGGGCGCCACCTCGGCCCGGCCACTCGCGCCCCCGAGCCCTGCGCCCGGGGAGAGCCGGACCGAGCCAGGAGCGCATTTCGAACCTTTTCATCCAGAAGAAGGGACTGTCGCGCGTGCCCTTCCCGGCCCCCACCGCGGGGACGTCGGTGACCCAAGCGGATGTTGGACCGAGCGTGAGCGCCGTCTGGGGTCCGGGGTGGACTCCCGCTGCGGGGGGCAGCCGCGCGCGCTCCAACCCCACGCTCACCCCGCGCAAAGTCCCCAGGCCCCTGTGCGCTTCGCGGGGGCGGTGGATTTCGCCGAGCGGCGCTCGCCCTGGGGGCGGCGGAGGCCAGCCCGGAGCGCGACTGCTCACGCGGCAGCACCCACGAGCCGGGGACCGGGGTGCTCTCCGCGAGCGGGGGCGGGGGGTTCCCTTCTCGCGGGCCGGAGGACACTGGCCCAGCGCCGTCAAGGGAGGCAGCCGTACCTCAAGCAGCCGAGAAGAGCCAGTTAGTAGGTGCAGATTGTCCCGGGCGGAGCAGACAGACGGGCCGACGAGGCGGCCAGACGGCGGGCGTCGCGGTGCTGCGGGAGGGAGCCATGACAACTCCGGGGTCACTGGGGGTGCTGGGTCCGCCCGCCTTCGTACCCCGGCGGTTAGAGTGCAATTTCTGAGGATCGCAGGCGTTTGGGGCGTTTTGTTGGCGGAGATTATTCGCTCTTAAATCATGGAGTCTTCTTAGAAAGACAGTTGAGAACTCGGGGCGCACCGTTTTGTCCCTCTTCCCCGAAGATAGCACAGCTTGCTTAAAAAACAAACATTTGAGCTTGCCTAAAAACAAAATCCAACCACCTTTCCCGGAGACGGTGTTCCTGGTGTACTAAAATAGTTAACAAGGCATTGCACAGTCGCTGTCCGGCCAGAACGCACAATCGCTAATAAGCGCTCGGCCCCGCCAAAAGGCGCGGGGCGGCCCGGAGCCCCAAATGCCCGCGGCTCGGCGGGGCCCTGGCCGGGAGCGCGGCCACCGCGGGCGGGGATGGCGCTGGGCGCGCGCTGGGCCACTCCCGGGCCGGGTCTTCCCGCGACTTGGCGGTGGAAGAACTCGGTAGATGGCCCGTCTGGTTTTGTTACAGACGTTAACAAATGACTTCACCCAAGATAATGTCATGATCTCTCAACAGCTTGCTTTGATTTTTCTGTTTAAGGTTCCGGGTTGTGGGTAGTAGCCGAATTTAACTGGCGTATTATTTTATCTCTAACTTTGTTTCGTTGCGCGGTGAAGAATCAGCAAAATAAAACATTGAAAGACCCGACATTCTTTTTGTCTGGTTTGTTAAATAACAACAGTGTCCCGATGGCCCCTCAGCCTCGGAATGATGGTCAGTAGTTAAATCACGGGGGGTTCGAACATTTTTTAAAGCTGACTTCCTGATTTGTAAAAATAATCCGATGAACAGGCAAAGGGAGGTCAAGGTCAGGCATCAGATGACAAGGTAAGGACTGTGGGTGAGTGGGCAGGTGAGGGGGGGGTGACGGTCCCAGGAATTAATTCTTAGGCAAGTTTGGGGGATGGGTTTGTTTTGAAATACATTTATTACAAGATTATTTTATATCTCAACATCTTAGAAAGCTGTCTTTTCTCTCATCGTGGACAGACGCTTAAATCATATCACACAGCTGTGAGATCCCCCCACCCCCTTTTAAATAAGGTTGGAGCGTTTTCTAGAAAATAATGACCTTGGACATCATTTTATTCTAAGATGTGAAGCTCTCTGTGCAGCTGGGAGGTTACCAAGAATATGGAATATTTCACTTGCTCATGTGCAATAAGCCATTTCCCGTCTTGAGGCTATTGACAAAGTTCAACCACTGTTGCAAAGCGAGGAATAGTGTCCCTTTAATCTGTAGAAAACTGAAGAAAACCCAGGTGAGCTCACTTAGTCTCATCTATGTGATTTATTGGAGGCATGTGTGTGTGTGTGTGTGTGTGTGTGTGTGTTGGGGGAAAATGATCATTCACTCTGGGAACACGCAGGAGTTGGGGAAAGTGCTGGAAAGATGGAATCACCTCCCCTGCCTTCCAGGCTGTCTGTTTCCTCAAGGAGGAGGCAGGAGAAGACAGAGACTAGCTCTGCTCACCAACCATTGCAGGGAAGGAGTTCTCGTTCTTCCTGGATTCTGCTTCAGAAAAGTCACCAGCTCTTTAATAAGTAAACTTGATGGGTGGCCTTCTGTTTATTCAATCCCTGTCCCTGCCCACCTGACGGGGAACAGAAAGGTGAAGATCAAGGAGCTAAACAAAACCAAATGAGGTCCTTCCTGGGAAAAAAAAAATGTCTAGGATATTAGAAATGACCGATTCTTCCCACAGTCTCGACTCTACCACCCAGATGCCACCATTATTCAAAAAACTGTCTCTGAAAGAAGCAGAAAGCCACAGGTGAAAGCTGCCTCCCTCCTATGCTACTTAAAAAGTGCCTGTACATGTAGAAAAGGTAGCAGCCTATATAATTTTTATTTAAGAAAATCACACCCTATCGTGCTCGCCAGAAAATCTAGAGATTGTTTGAGTGTCATCCAAATATTTCAGTTATCACTTGCATCTTATTGGCCACTGTGCCGAGCAACGTTAGCAGACCTGCTCCTTGTAAGGAATTTACTTTCTGAAAAGCAGCGTTCCTGTGCACTCGGGACTCCTGTGGGATAAGAGAGGGAAAGGCCGTTGCTGGCGTCAGGAATGCAAAATTAGAGACCTCTCAACACAGGTCCCTGGCCGGCAGTGTTTCTGGGGGTGCTCAGTGAGTAAGCCTAGATGTATTTATTGTAGAACGAGGAGATGCTTTTGAAAATCTCCAAGCAGGCTTTTCACAGAAGAAAGACGTTTGAGTTGGTCTTTGAAGGTCCTGGGAAAGCAGAGAGGGTGAAGGCGGGCTTCTCGAGTTAGAGCCCTGAGCCCGCAGAGGCAAAAAGAGGAGCTTGTGGCCTGATGCCAAGGAAGGTCCTTTCACAGGGTCAACCACCCACAAGCCCTCCCAAGCCCTCCCTGTGAACAGAACCTAAGAGGAAAATAACACGAGGTCCCGAGAAATTAAGGTGTCCTGCGTGTGGGAGGCCAGGTGAGCAATCAGAAAGAGGGAGCACATTAAGTGCACTATGGGATTTACCTGGCTGCGGTCAGGGGCTATTTATGGGTATCTCCTCTAAGGGAGACTGATTACACCGAGGATGAAAATGCAACCTTGAGAAAGGTGTATGTAACTCAGAAGGTACGAGTCCCCTGTAACTCAGAAGATACATGTCCCCATCTAAGAGGAGGCTCCTCTCACACCTGGAAAGTGTTTGCATTGACCAAAGTTAACTCTACAGTGGCGCTCCCCAGTCAGGGTGGCCCATCCGGTCCTTGTTGCCTTCCAGGTATGCAGATGAGTCAGACTAAACCCCCAAAATGAAGGGAGCCTGAAGGAGGGCTTTTCTTTGCGCCACGTGATGGTACTCTATAAATTTGCCAAGAGAAAGGCGATGCTGGGAAGAGTCCCTGGACGGAAGCTTCTCCGTGACCCGTGACCGTGACCCATGACCGTGACCAGCGGGCACAAGCACCTTGACGGGCCTCCCCTGCCCCTTCCCTGCACACTCAGCAAATGTCAATAAGGGGATTACGCCTTCTCTGACGGTGGCTCCAGGAGCCGCAAACTGAAAACTTGCTGGTTTCTCTAAGACACAGAATTACTTTTCTCAAGCAGGTTTTCATTGTTGAGCGAAATCCTGTTCTCAAGCTGGGTGCAATTTATCCCCCCAAATATGGGATGGGAGACTACACCAGCGGGCCCCTCCTTCAGACCTACGCAGACACCCAGCTGGCTGCTTGCGGGGTCTGCAGGACTTTCTTCAAGATGTTCCCCCAGCCCAGCATCAAAGCTGCAGCGCCGGATCAGACATTAAGTTCTTTCTGCTTATGTGGGAAGATGCTTCCCTCAAAAGACTGTCCCCTTTGCTTCTGGCCGATGATGACAGACCAGAGCTCGGGCTCTGAGCTCAGGACAACAAATAGGTCAATTGGTGCTTGGGGGGCAGGGGGAACACCTGAATTGAAAGCAAAGGGATGCACCCTCGTGGGCAGCTTCCCTGGTGACCACAAAGCACAGAGCACCCAGGTGCCACATAAACCTGAGTCCCACTGAGTGCCAATGGGGCACGGGGCCCTGGCAATGATGCCCACCCTCCTCCCTACTGAATGAGGCAACAGAGGCCAGGAAGTCCAGGAGCCACTCTCAAGGCCACACAAGTAGTGGAGGTGGACATGCCAGGGACCAGCACCTGCTCTGGGGGAGCAAAACCTCCTTCCTTGGTTTGTCCTGGTGGGGTCTGCTCTCCTGGAAACAGGAGTCCTGGCAGGAGCTCCCTCCCCGCCAGCTGAGCCCACTCTTCCTGCCCTCCCACCCCTGCCCAAAGTCCCCAGCTTCAGGCCATTTCCAGCCTCTCTGCTCAACCCTCAGTCTGCCCAGGAGAGACAGAGGGGGGCCAGCTCCCTGCCAGGTGACCTGGCTGCAGTCGCCTGAACTTTTTTCAGCAGCCTCGCCCCTGATCCCCGAGGGAGATCCAGATTGGTGACAGGGAGAAGCAGAGGTGAGGCAAACCCTGGGGACATCCCCTGATGGTTACATGTTTGTTATTAGGGTTTCAGAAAGCAACTTCTAGAAGCGAGGAAGTAGACAGCTGACAGTCGAACCAGCAGGGCAGCGAGGAAAGCAGCGTCTTGGGGAAGAACAAGGGGTCTCCTGCACCAGCACCTGACCTTGTCTCCAGCGGGCCTCGGTGTTCTGACCCTGGCGCACCTGGTTCTCTCAGCAGCGTGGCCTCTGCTGGCCGCGTGCTTTCCATGGATGCGGTGATCCTCCCGGGGCTGCTTGGCAGTGGTTAAGTGCTGGCTGCCACCCACACCGAATCCCAGGATAGAGGACACACACCCCTGACAGTGGGCTCTGCACCTGCAGCACCAGCCAGAGGTAGGCAATGGGCCTTGGAAAAAGGCTCACCATGCACCCCAGCCCTGGGATCCAGGGGGGCTACTGTGTCCCAGAAGTTTCTAAGTAACGTGGGTGACTCCTTAGAGAATGGCAAGGCCATACAAGCCTTCATAGTAACAAGATCAGTGGAGAATGTTCATCGATGGGGTGGCC